TTGTTAAATCACACAGTAGCTGACCAGGTACTACTTGATGAGCCACGTGGCACATTCCTTGTTCTTGCTGCGTACGTGCACCAGTGCAGCTTTACTACGAACTTCTGCTCGTTTGCACGGCACACCTTCTCCTTCTTCTGTCTATCTGGCTCGAAGGAATTTTTTGGGATAGCGAATTACCTGCTCTTCATTCTTCAAGCATCAGTTTAATGGATTGTATGATTTAGCTGAGGGCTGTATTGCCAGGAAGAATGAAAGAAAAAATTGATGCTGTCGCTTTTTTTCTTAATGATTCTAGTTACAATATTTTACTCCGTTATTTTACTAAACAAGCAAACTTGTGCGTTATGCACGGAAATTAACTTCAATTAATATTATTTGCATTGTTTTATTTTTTTATACGACGTATCGATTAATAACTTTAATTTTGACTATTACAAATTACACTTTCACTTAGCTTGCGGCGAACAGTACGAGAGGAAAAGAAATGAGTCCTTATCTAAACACAGTCTATTCTACTTCTATTGATGATGTTTCCAATCTCCTGTTAATCTTCAACCATATATAAAACATATAGTTTTATATACTTTTATTTTATTATACGGTCAATACAACACATACTTCAAATTAAAGTAATCAGAGATAAACATTTTATTATAAAAGCTTTTTTTGTGATAGAACTTGGTACGTTGGTGTATACGAATGAAAATTACAATATTTATTAATCAGTAGGGAAAATTATCCTGCAATTACTTTTTAGCAAATATGATTGCAAAAGTTTATTGAAAATAAGTTTAACAAATATAATATTTTGCAAATTACACGTTCTATACCAATGACTTTGTCTCAAGTTATTCTGACAACGACAGAAACAATTTTATAGCATTAAAAGGGTATTTATCACAGAAAATAAAATTATAAAATTTTTGGTATTCTAAATTTGCGTTAAAAAATTTACGACGATTTTTACAATAAAAGAATTTTGAATACCAATTCATAGGCTTTTCTATTTTTTAATGTTGTGAAGTTAATTTTTTATTAAACTTATAGACTTTAAGGATAAAATTAAGAATTATAAGAAACATATAAAAGTTTTGTAATGTGTATTTCTGTATTTTTTTAGAGCCAGAATTTTTGAATACAGTGTCGTGATTGTTTGTGCATTTTGACTTGTTAGAAGTCTAATTTTTAAAATGTATTTTATATTATTTTAAACTAAATTTTCTAGAGAAAAAATAGAAAATTTTAAGGTATGAACTTTGACAAAAAAAAAAAAATTTATTAACAACAAAAAATTCCTTGCCATACAATATTTTAAATGTTTAATTGATTTTCCAAATCATTTTGTGTTAATATATTTTCAGGATTCTTACATTTCAGTACTAATATCAGTAGGTATTATTCCTACTTTTAAATTATATTTGAATAGTTTTCTCATATGAAGTATAGTGTCACAGCACAAGCCATCAAATATAGTCAAGCTTCTTATCAACATAACAACATCTAGTTTAAAATTTAAAACATGTGGTGGTAATCCTTAATGTATATTATTTTGACTTTTTATCGAAGCCTGTATGTGAATTCCATCATCACTGCAGTCACTACCTTTAAATTTCGCACAATCTATACGGTATAAGTATTTTCTGTTTTCTTAATAAAATTAAACATTTTATTACCTAAAATATATAATAGTTTGTTATGAGTTGTTAGGATTACTATGTTTAGGCAGCTATTTTTACCATCCCCATGAATTTCGTCATAAATTTTATCTGTTTTTCATCCCTGAGACATTTTAAAACACTTTATGGCTGTGTTTCTAATGTCTTTTAACAAAAATAAGTGCAAATCTGTGCACCGCATATTATTTTTGAATTTCAAAATTTTGAAGTGTTATTGTAGGAATAAATACTTTTTAGTTTTACTAATTTAAGAATTCTTTCATCCATGCTTTATCACTGTAAGTATTTGTCTTAATTTGTCTCCCTAAATAAAGAAGTTTTCACCGAATGGAAAATTGTTACCATATAAATCTTTTAAACTTTTATTCACTATTCCCAAAGATTTTTATGGATCTCTTAAGGTTCATCCTAAATAATCACATTTACTTCTCGTTATCTTTTTTTTCATTAGATTCGTATTCTAAAAAGAATTTAAATGTTATTTAAATCTAATCGTAACCAAAACATTCTATGTCTTGTCATCTCTTAAGATAACAAAATCAAAGCAATTTCCGTCGAAGCCATAGTTATAACTTTTCTCTTTTTTTAACAAAAAATGAAAAAGTATTTTATACAATAACGTTTTTCGAGCACATCCTGAACCATTCATTAAATAATATTATTATGTAATATAAAAACAATCGATATAGCATGTAACGGGGAGCGCGGGGGGGGAGGGGAAATAACATCAGAAACAGGACGTGACCTCATGATCCACCAAGTTGCATCTCGATCGGGCGGCTAGGCCCGAAAACCCTCGGCAACATTCCCGCAGAGCACGCACACCAAGGACTAGAGGCAACACTGAAAATCTAATTATATGCAGAAGTACGGGAACACGGAATTCTTGGGTTAAGTAAAATACACACATATACAGAACCAATAATTCAATACTAGAACGTTCCTAGTTAAGTGAAAAGAATAGCAGATATTAAAGGTTGAAAGAATACAAATTTATATCTATATCAATATCTATGCGGGTGTGTGTATACTGCAACGGGGAATCATATAAAATTAACTGATCTACACGACCGCTGTCTCTCTCGCACAAGTTGATCCCTACACGACGGGCAGACCTTGTGAATCAAAGCGAAAAGACGCGCGCAAAAACACTCTCCTCAACTTACTTCTTTAACGCAGACTCTGAAGGTGACGCATTATAATGAGAATCCCTTGATCCTGTGGGAGGAACTGGTGAGCGTCCCCACCAGCCAAAGTCCGTGGTCTCAACCTGGCGTGTGACATCGAAATTGTCCGGGTACTCGGGCGTCGTTGATCTTGTCTCTGGCTTGCTTTACCGACCGTTTTTGGCGCACCTAACCTCCCTTTTTCTCCCGTAACAAAACTCGTGCTCCTCTGCCGTCTCTGTAGACTTCCAAGCTGGTCTCCCACGCCTTACTCCGCTCTCCGTCGCTTCACTCCTCCTCTCCAGTCTCCCCTCCTCGCTTCTGCGAATGCCTTGTGGCTACGCTGTGATAAGCAGCGTAACGTTATGAGTTTCCTTAAATATTTTATATATTTAAGAGTCGTGTTGAACTAATCTTAAAGCAATAGCAGTATCTCCAAACGTACTGTAAAGTATATAACTAACTGTTTTCATACTTTTGAAAGATTCAGCTCCAATTCCCCAATTTAAAGTTAAGGAGAAAAATAAAAAAATTTCAAAAACGCCTCGAGCCTTTAGGTAACACTATTCGTCATGTGAACCCACAAGTAGCGCCACCCTGGTGGATTAAAATAGAACCCTAGTGGGCCACAATCATGTGCTCATACGTATAGCGCGAGCAACCTCCAATTTATATTACTTGAGTCTATTGTTAATTTTATTAATTATGTAGGCGATGGTGAAAGAAAGTTTATCAAAAAAGAAAATGTTTTAAATATAAGTCGTATTTTATTTTCTGGCATAACCTCTAAAACTGTAAACAAGATCCAATCTGTAAACAAATCTCTTGTTTTAAAATTAAGTGAGTTATTCGGAGCCCCCCATGAAATAAATGTTGTGCTATAGCTTTTGAAAAAAAAGGCCAGCAACTACATTGTGTATGTAGTTGCATAATAGGGCTGAATGGAACATCGAAACATGTAAACGTTGCAAAACTAATAATTTTAACTTGGTTAATCTATTATTTTAAATCAATTTCAAATATACTGTTACATCAGTACATTTTTAATGATACGGAACTGAAGAATTCTATATTCAAAATAAGGTTCATTATTATATTTTGATCTTGTTTTCAGTTTTAGAGGTTATGCTACAAAATAAAATGTAACCCGCATTTAAAACATCTTCTTCTTTGATAAACTTTCTTTTATCATCGCCTACATAATTATTAAAGTTAAATATAAAAATCAAATAAAACATATTGTAGGTTGCCCGCGTAATACGTTTGAACACATGATTAAGGCCCAATTAAGGGTTCTATTTCAATACACCAGGGTGGCACTACTTGTCGGTTAACACAACGAATATTTAATTGCCCTGTTATTAAATAACGTCTAACTCTTTTTCTTCTAACCTAAGTTGTTAGCGTCAAATTGAAACAGTAATATTCTAGAAAATTAATGTACCTGATGTTTTTTTGGAAACTCCTATTCATTTAATTTAAACCAAGCCGTTAATGTTGTTTTGGAGATTTCTTTTCATTAAACTTGATAATAGCTGGAGTCGTTGAGACAATCCTGGGCCCTTTTAATAGTAGCCAATAGGATAAATGACTGATTTATTATATTGTACCACCATTGAATTACCAACTTAAATTCTTTTATTACTACTTTTTATTTTACACATGTAATTATTACATCTATTGTTACTAATTAAACATGTAAATTTAATACGGGCACAACTAAATCAAGAAAACTCAATAAATATAGTAAGATTTGTTATATATAGTTAATACAATTCCATTCTAGTGGGTGGCTGGAGGGGGTGGACGAGGTGGACCTCAAAATTATGAGAGGCAGCTGAGTGGGTAAGGGGGTCTCGAAAAATTGAAATATTTTCTATTGGCTTTAAATAAGGGAGAAATAATAAAATATTGACCTTATTTTGAAGGGGGCTAAGGAAAAAATTCAAAATTTCAATGGGAAACGAGAAGTAGTGAGAGGCGGTTAATGACGAAATTTATTCTTAAAACTATACATTATTAGATATAGTTATATGTATTTAAAAGTATTTTAATTTTAAAGTTGAAATATGTTGATTTATCTGGGTCGCAAAAAAAAACTATTAACAACTGGAAGGGATGAAATTTTTATTTACTTGTTATTTTATAATTTCAGATTCGGTCAATTCATTGTTGATACTTTACCTCTTAGTTCAGAAAAAAATTTAGTTTTACGTGAAGGACAAGGAAATAGAGAGAGTGAAGGGGGAAAAATTTTGTTACGAAATCGCTGTCTTCAACTTTTACATTCTATTTTGTTTAGTGGCTCCACAATTAATACGAGGTAATAATTTTTTTTGTATTTTAAGAATTAGACCATATGTATGATAAAATTACGTGCATGAATTATATTTTATCTGTAAGTAATATATGTGTCTTTATGTGTTTATCTTAAAGTACTTGTGAAGAAGTACCGAAGGTATTGGGGTACGATTGGATCTTACTGTTTCTTCAACCCATTCTACATAGTAGTACAGTTATTTGGGGCTTGAGAATTTTAGTAGCCATCCTGTCAGTAGAAAATCTGTTACTCAAGTTTAAGGAAGGTACTAGTAATGCAGGTTGGTTGAAGCATACGGATCACAACAAAATAGATTCACACTTAGGTAAGAAACATAATAGTATTTATGAGAATAATATTGACATACATAAAACTTTAATGTTTGATCAATAATCCATAGAAGAAATAATAACTTATAATATATCAGAAACGCATATTGAATTAGAAACATGTAGAAAACTATTTAACATGAATTAACAGAAATTTTAAAACTTTCTGAAATAATAAACATCGCTTTCATTATAACCAACAGCCTTTCGTATCCACGAAGGGATATATCTTTTCAGATCACTCATTGAAAGTAAAAAATAAAGGACATTAACTGATTGATAATTATTTTTAATAACGATTCTTTTGAATGAACTCGTTAGTCTCAATGATTTTTACTAAGAGAAGAACTATTACTCTATATCCTCTTTGGTGCAAAGTACAAACTTAAGCGTCTGAAGTGTACAGTTGTTGTACATGTAAGCCAAAGTAGAGTATATTTTTTTCTTAACAAAAAGTGCAATTTACTTATATACTTGTGAAAAAAAAATAATGATAAGGGCGTAAAGTGCGATTTGAGGGTGAAAAGCATTAGTTGTTCTTGAAGCTCCAAGTAATAAAAATTATGTGGGAGAGCTTATGATTTTCAGAAAACTAACTATTCTATAAACGCTTTCTAACTTTTGCAGAAGCACACAAAGTTCTTTGAACCCTGGGAAAGTATATTAGACATGTACCATTTAGAATGAGATCTGAATCAAGCTACACAAGCCCTTCTACCTAGTCCTGTACCCTTGTTCAGTAAAAAGTACAAAAATTATCGAGGAACAGGTCTAGGAGATGCTGGTAGAGGGAATCATTGAGTCATCATTTTTACCTTACAGCTCTCCACTCGTCTTGTTGTCCAAAAAAATGACACTATGTGCTTCTGTGTACATAATGGACAGATAAAATCTATTACCATATTCACAGTGTATGATAGATGTCTTTATTTAAGCCAGGTAGTGTAACCACGAACGGCTCCACATATATTTTAATCTCTTCACGAAAGACAGTGGTGCTGCTGTCTGTTTTTAAAAAAATGGGGCTATTCTTCCATCAGAGGCGATCACCATCACAGAGAGTACAAAACCGTGACATTTAATTTAAATACTATATGAAATTTTTCTTTTGTTTAAAAATTTATAAAATAAATCAAAGTTATACTGTAAGTTATGGAAAGTGGACAAACACGCAACCAATAGCAAAATGAAGAAAAAAGAAATGCCAAAACAACTGGTAAAAAAGCAGAATTTGTTTAAAGGTTACGAGGTTCAAAACGATCTATTTGCAAACAAAGAAATGTCTAAAAGGTTTTTTTTTCCGTATTTTCAGATTAATGAGTTACAATAACATATTTGTAAAACCTACCCTTAGAGGAGATAATAGTCTTGCGCTTATTACACCAAATTCTCAGATGTATAAGGATTTGAATGCTTCCCATAGTTTATATTTGAATTACGACGATAGCTTACGATATTTAAAGTCGATTAATGCACCTTTAAATAACAGTAAAGGATAAAAAATGTACAAGAATAAATATCTTATTCTTGAGGAAAGCTTGCAATGAACAAAATGAATTTTTTCTGTGTGCTGGGATAGTATCGGAGCTTAGGAAAGTCATTATTGACAATAGAAATATCAAATTGACTGCATTGGAATGCATTTCTGATACTCATCTGCCACCTAGAGAAGCTAAAACCGGAGCTTTTGCTGTGATTTTATTCTTGTACTTAAAAAAAGTGCTTGGCTAAGCTAATGGAGCTTCTGATCTTTTAATGGGTATTTTTGTTTCATCACTAATTGCTTTTGTGTTTGAAAACTTTTTTTTGAAGTCACTAGGAGTTAAAAAATTCACAAGTTTCTCTAATGCCCATTGAGATACTTTTGACTATTGAAGTGACATAAATTTTACCCTTATAATAAAGTATTTTCTACTTGTTTAATATTAGTATTGACAATAAACTTATTTTATAATAAATCTTCTTTTGTCTCTAAATCATCAAAGTTGTAAAAACTGATAAATAGGTTTTATATTTATTGGCTTCCTACCGTAAAAGCAGTACAGATCAGAAGTAGCGTTTCTTAAGGTTTGACAAACAATTACAATTTTATCATACCTTTCCAAATATGTATGACAATGAATATGTTTATTGTCATCCATAAATTTTTCAACAGATATTAGAAAGTACAGCTTTTCATCAACACACATAGACAGTTTTTTTAGACATCCCATGTCTTACACTTAATATTTATTACTTCGTAAGACAGAGTTTTGTTTTTAAATTATAAAAACCAAAAGCTTAGCAATCTCGAATTATCGAGCGGTACACCTGTTTCTGCAATCGCGTGACATACAACTTACTTCTTTTGAAACAAGCTGCCGTCACGAAGCTCAAACTACGCGTGCAACATCGAACAATCTTATAAAGTGCTCATCTTACAACATTAATTCGCAGTGGTACATCCAAGAATGTGAATATTTAACAATTTCAATATTCTCTACTGCTTATGTCCACAAAAAAATATCATACACAATTTCGACAGCAACTTGTACTTAATGTCAACTCCGAAAGATCAGCAGTTTTAACCATCAATTACTGCGTAATTATTGCACCACGGCTGTGCTCGTGTCAATCGAGAGCGACTAGGTTAAGCTCTGATTGGTCGTTCAGATTCTCAACCTGACGCAAGTGCAAAAGTATAAAGCAATAGCACATAGCAATATTCGACTTTTGTCTTTTATCAAGTGCTCCAAATTAACTGTAAAGGTTTAAGAGTGAGTTTTGTCGCGTCTTTCAAGTGAATGTAAGACTTAGTTCGCTGATTAAGCTACGTGTTAGAAGCATGCATTTCAAGCAAATGTAAGACTTAGTTGTGTGAGAAAAGCTTGAGCAAACCAGACCACTGTAGACTCGCCTAAAAAGTAAATCAAGGAGGAAGAAGAAAGAAAGAGCCGTCGACTTGGGTTCTGACTTTAAAAGCAGCAGACTAATTATTGTCATCGCCACGAGTACTCTCGTGTAGGATTAGGATTATCATTGCGGTCAACCTTGTAAGATGTTGCGACTGCGTGCACGTAAGCAGCAGCTTACCAATGATCATAGAAGTAAGTTTAGTTAAGAAAACTATAAATTGTATAAACATTGTAAATGCAAATCAAATTTATCAAATCATTAGATAAGACATTACTTGGTTGTTGAATAAATCGACTTTCTTAATTCAAAAATATTTCAATTACTTAATTATATGAAACATTTTAAAATTCAATATTCTAATTGATTAACACAATTCTTACCTTGATGAATAAATAGAATGTCAAGGTGTATTTAAATAGACAATGTATTACAAATACTTTCATAAGGACGTGACATAAAAAGACGAATAAGATACGCTACTACCGCATGACAGAAGACATAAACTCAAACAGTAGGTCAACGCCAGCTTGGTGTTCACCACTCCGTACACATCGCTTGGTGAAACCTAATACTACAACGCCGAGTTAACGATTGAAAAGAAGAGTATACTGTAAGTAAAAGCAAATACGGCTTTTGGGCCGCGACGGCTGGTTCTTGACGAACAAAAATGAATTGATTTGTGTATAGAACGAATCTACGAGTTTTGCCCTTCACTTATAGAAATTTAGATGTAACATTTTTACTATTGCTTTGATTGTCATCGCAGAGTTCATCATAAATACTTTTTTGATCCCCACATTTTCTTCTATCGTTACTTAGATATTTATTGGAATTTTCAGTAATCATTTCTATATCTATACAATCAAATGTTACAACGCATTCTACTGTATCAGTTAAATGAGCATTATTATTTATAAAATATCTTTATTAAAACGCAAGTCATCATTAGCAATGTTCTTTTGCATTTCTACCGCACTTTTATCTTTTACTAATAATACATGTAGTGCCTTCTAAAACATGCTTTAAAATAGAATCCATTATTATATTTTTCAACTTTAAAGTAACAAACTTTTAATGGATCTTTTTTTAAAAACTGTATTTGTTCAAGAAAATATAGTTGGGACAGCCGTTTTGTAAAATGCTTTTTTAACAGATCTTTGACCTGCACATTTGTAATATTTATGTGAAATTCAATCACTTTTTAACTAACAAAGCTCATACTTACGAATGCTACTTCTGTCAACAAAGTGATCAGCTGTAAGCTGCTCAGAACAGATTCTGCTCCATTTCGAAGGTAGTAAAATCTTTTTATCCCATTGCTTTTAACTATTTCTGTCACACCAAAATATGTATACATAGATTCAAGCAGTTGGATTTCAAAGTAACTGTTTACCAATCTTTATTAAGATTACTAGTGTTATTAATGTGATCGAATTGATTTTTTGGCAATGAAAATTCAGACTAGAACTAAAACATTATATTGTAAAGAACTCAACAAAGCCAATTGATTGTTATAAAATCAAACAGAAAATATTTTCCTCTAATGCTTCAAAAAAAATGTCAAAAATGGTAAAACACGGTTTTTAGAGTCGGAAACGAACAACAAACAGTTACAACAGTAAGCCTTACAAAAAAAAAAATTGTATGAATAATGGCAAAAAAACGAACAAAATCAGCTCTAGGTGATCCCAATTGTTCCAGTGGCTCTCCCGCATAATTCAAATAACTTTGTTTTTTGAGCAAACATTCAAAAATTAATAACTCTGTTTTGCATAAAAACAAAGGACTAAAATTTGGCAGAGTTGTAGCTTTAATGATCTTCAATAAACCCAATAAATTTTAGCAAGATCAGATGAATAACTTTGGCAAACCGCAGCTAAATGCAAAAATAGGTACTTTGGCAGAATAGCCTTAAAAAAGTTGTTTACAACGTTAGATGAAATTTTTTGCGGGATTGTATTGTTTAATACTTAATCTACAACTTACCAAAGCATCGAATTTTTTCGTAGTGTGCAAATAGCTTAAAAAAAGGTTAACCGCATAGATATTTTTTGCACATGGCAGTATGGCGCGTGAGGGGCAATGAGCCGCCGTAACCCCC